TTTTTGGGCTCGATTTTGGCGCCGTTCCGTCCTTCAGGGCCACTGTGTTTCCCTGTCCGGCAGCGTGCTTTTTCAGCTTCGGGAGGAAGAGCAGCAGCAGCAACAGGAGCAGCAGGAGGGTTCTATGTCTCACTATGTCTCATTGTACAAACAGATGTACAAAAACTGGTCGAAAACTATTGTTTTTCTAGGGTTTCAGAAGGGACGTTAGGCAGTTTTTGGGCTCGCTTTTGGCGCCGTTCCGTCCTTCAGGGCCACTGTGTTTCCCTGTCCGGCAGCGTGCGTTTTCAGCTTCGGGAGGAAGAGCAGCAGCAGCAACAGGAGCAGCAGGAGGGTTCTATGTCTCACTATGTCTCATTGTACAAACAATCGGTAGCAAAAACTGGTCGAAAACTATTGTTTTTTTCTAGGGTTTCAGAAGGACGTTTTCATTTTTTGTTATAGAGTCATTTTTTTGGGCTCGATTTTGGCGCTGTTCCGTCCTTCAGGGCCACTGTGTTTCCCTGTCCGGCAGCGTGCGTTCTCAGCTTCGGGAGGAAGAGCAGCAGCAGCAACAGAAGCAGCAGGAGGGTTCTATGTCTCACTATGTGTCATTGTACAAACAGCGGTACAAAAAATGGTCGAAAACTATTGTTTTTCTACGTAGCGTTTCAGAAGGGACGTTAGGCAGTTTTGGGGTTCGATTTTGGCGCTGTTCCGTCCTTCAGAGCCACTGTGTTTCCCTGTCCGGCAGCGTGCGTTTTCAGCTTCGGGAGGAAGAGCAGCAGCAGCAACAGGAGCAGCAGGAGGGTTCTATGTCTCACTATGTCTCATTTTACAAAAAGTGGTACAAAAAACTGGTCGAAAACTATTGTTTTTCTAGGGTTTCAGAAGGAACTTTAGGCAGTTTTTGGTTTCGATTTTGGCACTGTTCCGTCCTTCAGGGCCACTGTGTTTCCCTGTCCGGCCGGCAGGACGCGTTTTGAGCTTCGGGAGGAAGAGCAGCAGCAGCAACAGGAGCAACAGGATCAACAGCAGCCGCAGCCGCAGCAGGAGCAGCGCAGCACTTCTTCATCATCAGCAGCAGTAGCAGCAGCAACAACAACAACAACACCAACACCAACACCAAACACCAACACCAACACCAACACCAACACCAACACCAACAACAACAACAACAACAACAAACAACAAACAACAAACAACAAACACCAACACCAACAAACAACAAACAACAAACAACAAACAACAAACAACAAACAACAAACAACAAACAACAAACAACAAACAACAAACAACAACAAGAACAAGAACAAGAACAAGAACAAGAACACCAACACCAACACCAACAACAACAACAACAGCAACAGCAACAACAACAACAACAGCAACAAGAAGAAGAACAAGTAGAACAAAAACTGGGCGCTAAAGGAAACTGCACCTTATTCCTCAGCTCGTTTGCCACTCTGTCTGCGGGCACGCGCGACCATTCGGTTGTTTATGCTTGCTCTGAATTCGCCCCGCTTCTTTGCTGCTGTGGACACAAGTTCCGCAAGTTGGGCATGTGTGCGCATACCGCATGGTCGGACGGAGGCTACTGTTTTCGACACGGAACTGCTTCCCACAAACGTGACGGTGATTAATGTTTCCAGAAGCTATGGAGGAAGTTACCTCCCCGTTACAAAAAGGACACGCGTATACATACTCCGGCGACTTTTGGCGTGACGCCGGCGGAGCCTGCGCTACGCAATCACTTTTGTTTGCATCCGTCGCACTCCTCGCTTGGAAATGCTTTACGCGACTTTGACCGCGGCTATTTCGACGTTCGGCAATCGCTTCCCAAGTCTCGCAGAGAACGCGTGCGCGACGGATTCGCTAGCGAAGAGGTTCTAATCGCGCAGCGGCGGACGTGGCAGCACGCTTGCGGATTGTATCCTGCACCATGGCAGCACGGCATGTATTGCATGTTTGCGTGCCATCCTCTCCTGATGGCCGTCTGGAGATAAAGATGGAAAATTGTTGCCGCGGCTTTCGTTGGCGACAGGTCGCGCACTTCCACGAGCCGTGAGTTTTAGTTTGGCAACGTAGGCACAATCTTCGTTCAGGTTTTCTCGCGTGCCATGCGGCGGTGCCGAAAAATTCCTTGGTTTGGTTCTTGTTGCAAACAAAACATTTTTTTTTTGTGTCACATGAAAGGCAGACGCGATACATGCTCCAACGAGGGTTTTGGTGCTTCAACGTAAAATGTGAAGCAGCGTGCCAGAGGCCGCACTGTGTGCAGCGGTAGGGTGTGCCTGCCTCGCGCTTCTGCGCGGTGCATTCTTTGCAGACGCGGTAGGTTTCCTGTTTCCATTGTGCTTTGGTGAACGCATCTTTGCGCTTCATCTCCCCACATTCGTGGCACGGCCTTTCATCCAGGTATTTCTTGCGCAACGCGTCCCAGTCCACCGGCTCCTGTTTCCACACATCAAGCAGAAGTTGCCGTCCGAGCGGCAGACCTGCTTGAAAAGGTGCCAGCGGGAACGGACGGTAGATCAAGATCTTCTGCCGTGTGCGGCTCCGCGTCATCCCAATGTACGCCGCTATTGGGTCAGCACCGACCATGTCAACGATCACGCCCGGCTCTATTGCGCTTCCTTGCGCGCCGTAGAACGTGTCAGCGAAGTCGGGCGCGATGGGAAATTGGTACCGGGTGACTTTCAATTGTGGGTTGGTGCGGCCCGCGTCCAAAAACCACATTCCACTTTGCACGCTCACTGGGAAGACGTTCTCTTGATCGATGCCTGGGATAGTCCACCGTGTGCGTGTTTCAAAACGCACGAAGATATACTCGGGAAGTTTGTTCCAAATGACTGCTCCATCTGCCGATGCTGTTTCTGTTTCAATGCGAGACCACCCGCAGACTGTTCCATGGCACCCTTTCAAACTCTTGAACTCTTTTCGGTAGAGATGTTCTCGCGCTTGCACTGGCATACCAATGCACAGCGGAAGGACGCCGTACCGGTTGCCGCAGTCAGCGTCGCTGCGCTGTAGCCACGTGAGCTTGTCGTGGGCAATGTCGGGTTTCTCGTGCAAAGCGCGCGATGAAACTTTGTCCGTAGCCACTGCATAGTAGATGACCTGCCCGCGCTGTTGCGCCCATTGTTCCGCGCGCAATTTGTTTACGTGGCACTTCACCCCGTTCGTATGGAAAATTCCGCGGGCCAAGCTAAAACCCTCCGCAAACCGAGGATCGTCTGGATCCACTGCAACTAAACGCTTACTTTCTCGTTCGGCGCGGCAGCCTGCACATTCGTATTTGAGAATTGCTGCTGGCGTGGAACCGTTCTTGTACAAGCGATAGCATATATTTTCTCCACAAGTAGGCTGTTGCGTTCGTGCGCACCAGCTTCCCGGGACTCTTGTGGGTTGGCCGTGTAGGAATGCATGGTTGTCTTCGGATAGGCGTCCGACGCGAAGTTCGCCTTGCAGCTCCTGCAGCCAGACATCTTGCGTTCGTTCGCACCGTGTTAGTTCTGTAACCCCCTGTAGGCCACCTTGCACGCTGGAAAGCCATACAATTTGCTGGCCTTGCAAGCTTAGTGGCAACTTCTTAGATGGAACGCCTGTTACCAGGTGCCATGGAATTTGACCGAGAAACGTTCCACGTGGTGGAGGTAGCTGCCACAGGTCGCCCGAGAGAATGACGTTGAGGCCCCCGAAAGGTGCAACGGAGGCAGGGGTATGTTTGCTATATTTTGTGGCAGATATATCTAAGACAAGTTGCCGACAGCGGGCTTCGAGACGCGCTAACATCTCAGCACTCACCATGCTGATTTCATCAAGAAGAAGCCAACGCCACTGTACGGCTTGCCGTGCCAGGTCCAGAATCCGTTGCCCAGCCACGTTGTGATCGTTACCGTGCCACGACAGCCCGAGAGCTTTATGGATTGTCTCGCCATCCTAGCATTCACGGCTTGGAATGCAACGACTTGAAATTCTTTGCCTGGCGTCCAGCCAAGACATTTTTCGAACAAGTCCCGCCGCAATATGTTCAGCACGTACGATTTGCCCGTGCCCGGCCCGCCGTGCAATGCCCAGCGAAGAGCCTCCGTGTTTGTTTCGGCTGCCCCGCCGCGATCTTGCCCCGTGGCTGCTTCGTGCTTGACCCGGGCACAAACGGTTTCAATAAAGGATAGCTGCTCTGGGTTGCATTGCTTTGTCTGACGTAACTCTCGGCCAAATTGGTCGACTTTCTGTCTTGTCTCTCGTGCTTCGATTTCACACACGCTCGGCCGCGAGTCATGCGTCATCTTTGTGTTTGCGTTGCTACATTTGCTCTCTAAAGCCTTCAGCCCTCTTCGGACCGCTTTCGGATCCTGGGCTTCGAATGGATTACGCGCGGGTTCAGTCGCTCCGCAGCGGGACTTGTGCTGCCACGTCGTTCCTGCTCGTGCCGCAGCTTCGTCGTAAGTTGCAAGAAGTCTAGCGTCAGCATCCTTTGGCAGGTCCGTGGTGCGCGAGGCTCGTTCTTGTCCCGTTTTTCGAAATGATGTTTGTAAGGTACGACTCGCAGGGTGCAATTGATATATTTCTTAGGTTGGTACCAAGATTTCCCTGCTTCAACAAGTAACCAAATGTAGCTAATCCACCATACTTGCTTCCGGGGTCGGCGGCAGGGGCGGCAGCCCTTAAATATATATATAGAGATAGACAAAATAAGATCATATAAGATCGGTTTACCGGTTTACCCAGTAATTTTTGGGACTTGATAGGGATTTCCCCACCAGAAATTGGGTCCCAAGCCAGCCATGCTGTCAGCAGACGTGGGGATAGATCTGGGATTGCCGTCAGGCCGTCAGCAGTTCTCACATCTTATTAAAATTTATCAATCCTCTCTGATCATCAATCTTGAGTACAGATTTCACTTTTGCATCAATTTTCAGATCTGAAATTTCACTTTTCTTGGGATCTCGGGTTCATTTTGATGAATATTTTGATCTCAGCACAGCAACCAGCCATGAAAGTTGCAACCCAAGGACCACGTTGGGTTCTGGAATGACCCTCTCGTCATCCTCACGGCATCTTTGCAGGTGAGATCCCCATCCCAGGCTTCACCAACAGAATCGAATTGCGCCATTTCATCATCGAATCGTGTGGGCTTTCCGAACAGTCATAAAATCCGTTCCCATGGCTTTTGTTGGAATTATCCAAACAAAATGTTTCATCCCATCTAGGATTTTCCACGAGAAAAACACTATAAACCATCCATATCATCCATTGTTCATAGGATTTTCCACGAGAAAAACCATCCAATCCAACCATCCATTGTTCATCGGATGTTTCAGTCGTTCAGCCAGCTGAAAAAATCTCCTCTGGGTCGGTCGGGTCCATAAGATCCCCATCATGGACCACCTCAGATGCAAGCGGAGGCCGCAGCAAAGTTCACCGAACAAAAAGGGGCTTGTTTAACGTGGTTTACCATCTGGTAAACAGCCACATAACTATGGAAAATCACCATGCTATTAATGGGTAAATCCACGAACTAAATCACCATTTTCAATAGCTTTTTGTATGTTTACCAGAGGGTAACGTGGTTTTTTACATGTTTCAACCACTCAAAATATCTCAACATATATAGTATTCTATAGAGTGGTACGAAGATCATCATTTAAAATAAACGTAGAAAAGTATCCTTCTAGGCACTCAAATGTCCTCAAATCCACCTGGATTTGTTACCACTGGCACAAATCCCCACCTCCATCAAATCATCTCCACATTGCAAGTACTTGCTGTAGATATCTCTAGATGACAAAAAAATCCTCATAGTTCATATACATCTTCATATCATTTCATATCCAAATCCAATCATTCTTAGCACTTAAATCAAGCATAAATCCCACATCATGTGGGTAAAGCAATGCCAATTTACCACCCATTTTCCTGGGAATGGTAACCAGTCATACCACCTATCAAAATGGTGATTTTTCTGGGGGATGGTAAACATGGCATTGTTTTACTACCTCTAAATCTAAATCCATTGGTTCACCATCCCCCAGTCATTACCATTTTGATAGGTGGTATGGTTACCATTCCCAGGAAAATGGGTGGTTTACCCTCTGGTAAACAGCCACATAACTATGGAAAATCACCATTTTTCATGGGTAAATCAACTATAAATGGCAATTTTCAATAGCTTTTTGTATGTTAACCAGAGGGTAACCCAGATTAAGACAGTAATTTTCCCCACGAAAAAAATTGCCATACATTGGGGACAAACGCGTCATTTCTGGAAAACCCTGAGTCATATATTGGTTATCTCCTGCTCCATATGCCATTGAGTTTCCATGATATTCCCACTGTGGCTGGTGGAAAATCCATTGTTTTGTTGGTAACATCCCATTCCATAGTCCATAAAAACACATATCTCGTTCAATATCCTATTCAGTATCCAATAATATACTGAATATGTGTATATATATATAATTATACATATATAACTATATAACTATATCTATATATATATTATAATATCTATCATACAAGATCGAACTCAGCCCCCAAGTCCTCCGTCCCACTCTGGGCGTCCAAGAAACCACGCCCACGCCGGGCAACAGCTCCAGACAGAGCGACTCGTCGCAGGTCCAGGTGATTAACTGCACCTTGGGATTGGTCAACATGATTCCGGCGATGTCACAAAATGATTCAAGAGGTCTCTAAATCTCGATACCCTCTGGTAAACATACAAAAAGCTATTGAAAATGGCCATAGAAATAGTTGATTTACCCATTAATAGCATGGTGATTTTCCATAGTTATGTGGCTGTTTACCAGAGGGTATTATGTAAGGTCTAGATATTTAAACAGTATTTATTAGATATGATTATGATTAATTATGTAAGGTCTAGAAAGTACTGTTCGATTTTATCCATGTTGAACAGTATTTTGTAGATATTATAATCATGATTGATTATTAAGGTCTTGATATATCACGATTCCTGGATTAATTTATATGGATAATTGTTATAGATAGATATATCAAGATATAATTGAATATGACTATTGAAAATAGTTATCTTGATATCTTGATAATTATATCTATATTGTAGATATATCAAGATACTTGAATATATATTATATAATTAATTATTGGAGGTGTGAAATGATATGAATATTCTCAATGGATTGAGCTGTAAAATGTTGGCTGGATTGAATTTATTAATGGCGTTCATCTTTTCTTTGTTAAGACAGTGGATTAAATATTGCAAACAGGTTAGCAAAAACGTACGTATATATAAAGAGTAGTCATCGTGAAAATTGGCCAGAACCCTTCTGGAATTTCCTTCTATCTGGTTGAGTAGTGTTGCAGTGTTTCAGAAGCCACTGGTGATAAATGAAGGTTTCCTGAAATAGGGGTACGCCTAGTTATCATCCATTTTATAGATGGATTGTCCATGAAATAAACCATCCAGCTATGGGGTATTCCGGTATTCCCATTTATGGAAACCCCTAAATGAACAAAGAATACAGTCGTACTTGGGTCCCATTCCAGTACTGCAATTGCTTGGCAGGCGGAACGGCAGTTCAGAGGAATGCACGGATCAGGAAACAGACGACTTGTAGTACTACGCAACAGTATTAATGTCAAGTTAGGATTAATAAACCCCGGGGGGGTTGATTAATCCGATGTTGGCATTATATACATTTTTTTTGGTACTACAACTAGACTTACTACTGCTACTGCTATTATTACCACCAGCAAAACCGCCGGATTGACCTATGGACCTTGGCCATGTCAAAAGCCAAATATGGTTTGCAAACCGAAACCAACTCTGAATGTTGATTTCTCACCAGCTGGTTGTTCAAGTTCTTCATCACAACGACCAGGCCAGAGGAGAGTGCCCCGAAATTCAAACACCTCTCCAGTTCAGCTGGAATTGCAGAGGTGTCCAGAACCCCATTAAATAGCTGCTTCCACAAGCCAATATCATTGCGAGAAAAAATATCATGGAAATATGAGGTAGAATGGATCCTTGCACGGGAAAGAAAAACTTGTATATACATGTTTTGGACTGATAGAATTTCTGCGGAAAACTAACATTACACATTAAACAGAATTATACAGATTTCTACCCCCGATCTGTTGCAGCAAGCAACTGCGCCAATTCTTCATGCTGTCCATTTCTTTACCGTATAGACAATGTAATATATCCCACTACTGCAAAGAAGAAAGGGCCAAGAAACTTCCTGTGAGATTTCCACCATTTAATTTCCCTGGTGACTGCGGTTGTATCTTACGGTTCGTACGCTTTGAATAGGAAAACAAAACAAAATAAAGCCCGGCGGCAGCTCTCCGACTTTGTGGATCGAGGTCCCTAAAGTTAGATTTCCATCATTCATTGCCCAGATACCCTCTGGTAAACTAACATAACTATGGAAAATCGCCATGCTATTATATAATTAATGGGAAAACTCACTATAAATGGGAATTTTCAAGTTCGCAAACTGCTAGTTTACCAGAGGGTTGTGGCTTTGCAGCCATCTATGCTGCAATGGAAACATTGGAAAGGCTCCAAAAGAAGTACGGACGAGTTGCGGACGAGTTGCGGACTTCAGGAATTCTTCATAGCAGTTTTGTTACTATGTTCATGGTCACAATTCTGGCAGCAAATTGATGCAAATTTGTTTTACATAAAGATATACATCCCCCAATACATTCCAATCCCTATACTGCATCCTACTACTACCCTCTGGTAAACTAACATAACTATGGAAAATCACCACTTTTAATGGGTAAATCCACTATAAATGGTCATTTTCAATAGCTACGTTAAATTACCAGAGGGTAAGTATCCAAAATCATTCAACTGGATGAGACTGGGTGACATTCCCCCTGGGTTCCCCTACAGGCAACGCTCCGCTGGTGTAACCCTTCAAAGTGCATGAACGGATGCGCTCCTTGGAATGGGATGCACCATTTTTTGGGAGGGGATCTGCGCAACCCAATGCCACAACTACCATGGGGATGCTTTATAAATCTTACTATTTATACCACCTATTTGTGGTGGGATACCATTGGGTTCACCACATTATACCATGGAAAAAATAGGTAAAATTTTGGGGCTCAATTCTTTGAGAGCCTCACATATTTCGTTGATCTTTGGGAATGGGCTACTCTTAGTAGAAATGACTCACCATCCAAATCGCGCAGGTCGACCCTTCCGCCCATGAAATCTCCGATTGGGGCCCCAAAAATGAAGAGATCACTGGGACGGTAACGAAATCTCTGGAAGGGATCAACTTGACCCACGTTTTCACCACCTGCAAGAGAAAAAGACCCTCTAGCTGGGCTCGGCGGCTCGATTTTTTTTTTCAAACTTCTATGTACATCATCCATCTTCTGTGGAAGTGAGATCTCCTGTGGCCACACAATTTCTCAATGGCGGATGGGCGTTTTGGATCTTTTTGGATTTTTTTGGCAGGATGTGACCAAAAAAATGGTTACAGTCCATCAATTGTAGCTTGCAGATGGTTTTCTGGTTGATACTTGAGCCACCCCATCACTCATCGCAAAATTATGTATATATATAATATATTACATATTATAGAATATTATAGACATAGTTTCGTGATGTTTCGTGAAAATCATCATCCCATGTCTTTTTGGATGGAAAAAAAAAGTTCACATTTGAAACTTCCCAGTTTGATCCATTACACTCCCAACCTTGACCTCCCCACCAGTAGAGAACATGGACATGTCTGGCCGCTCACTGCTCGTCACCCTGGTCACCCTGGACCCGGAAGCAACGACAGAAACGGCGGGGTTAACCCCAATACCGTCCAGTACCAATACTGGAGATGAGATACAACAAAAAGATGACACCATATCTGGTTGGTGGTTGAGCCACCCCTCTGAAACATATGAAAGTCAAATGGGATTATTGTTCCCAATCTATGGAAAAGTAAAACATATTCCAAACCACCAACCAGACACCATATGGGTTGCAAAGTAGCGAAAACACAGCAGTACTACAGTACATTACAGTACTAGGGAGTGCCAAGTTTGGCACTGAAGCTTGACTTTCCAGTGGTCTTGAGAAAGATTGGGGGCTTAGAAAATGGACCTCCACAACCTCAATCACCTTCGAATCCAAAGTTTGTAGAAGATGTCCCCATTATGACTGGTTCAACCTCCATTTTTGCTGTTTCAGTCCCCCCATTTGTTCCTCATTGTCATCAAATCTAAAGATTGCTCAAATTCGGTGGATGAACCATCCACTGGTCAAAAATTTATGTTGTTCCTTTCTTTATCCATTACCCTTCTGAGGCGGGTTGATCCCATTGATATCCCAACAAAATCCCGACATTGGCCACGCCACCTTTGATGATTTCACAAATTGGATCTACTATTTTTCGGCACATGTCCGATTTTTCTATCAATATCCATTCGATGTTGGTCGTATTGTACATAAAAAATTAAATCCATTGTATATACTACCCAATGTAGTTGCTCAAATACTTTAAGTAGAACAAAGTACATCACTATACATCACTTTAAAAAAAAGAAATGATAATTGATAGATATTGTTAGCATATAATCAATGTATATACACCATTATCATATCTGGTTGGTGGTTGAGCCACCCCTCTGAAAAATATGAGTTCGTCAGTTGGGATCATTATTTCCGATCTATGGAAAATAGAAAATGTTCCAAACCATCAACCAGCATATTACCATCTGGTTATTTAACAGTTTGCCATGGAAAATCACCATTTTTAATAGGTAAACCATCTATTTCTATGGGCCATCTATACCATGGCGAACTGTTAAATAACCAGCATATTGTCCCCATAAATTCTTGGGATCCGTTTTTCCACGCGCTGAACCGCGCCTCAGGCTGCCTCCTGGCACCTCCCACCTCGCCGGGTGTCCGCCACCTGAGTCGTCATGCGTTCTGAACATGCTATCGCTCCGATGGGATTTTCACCATGAAAAATTGGGAAACTGGGAAAAATGGTGATTTCGTTAGGAAATTAGCTTGGAAGTTAATTTCCCAACAATTGTTCACAATTGTTCACATATTTTCACCATGAAAACTTGGAAGTTAGCTTGGTTTCACCATCAAGAATACGGACCATTAACATCAAAATAGGGTTTCAACTTCAACCATCAACAGAAATAGGGATTCAACATGATTCAACCAATCATGGAATATGGGTCAGTCTGAAAGTCGGGCAAAGCACCAAAAAAAAGATCCTAAACCATAATTTCAGACTGACCCATATTGGAACTATTAAAAAAAATGGTTGAATATGGTTGAGAATTTCAAGAACTGTATTTTTTCTCAACCATAATTTCTAAACCCAACAAAACAAGGCTCATATGCTCATGAAGCAACAATTATTGGGACTACGTTCTCACAGAACTCGTCTGTGGTTTGTGGTTGAGCCGCCCAAAAGCCATTCTTCGACGGACATGTTCGGAATGTTTGAAACGACCAGGCAGTTTTGTTTGGAGGGAAATCACATTTTTTTGGATTGTGAAGCCATAAAGACAATGACTAACGCAACAAGAATGTTGTGTCAGTCTTTGTCCAAACAGGCGTTCAAACATGTTGGAATAGCCCTTGTCCATCTTCCAGTTCACCACAATCTACACAAAAACCATATCAGTATAACAACAAAAACGCAATGTTTCGCACACCCCATTTTTGTCAGCAAACACAGCTGGTGAGGCGAATTTGTCCGGCGCCAACTGCCTGTAACTATCATGGCTCGCATACGACTGTCTGACTGTCTACACACAGTAGTTGAAAAGATGAAAATCATGAATATTGGTATCAATCAATGTCGGATAAGTGTGCATAAATCAACCAATTCATTGATAATGTATGAATCTGGCTAAATTATAAGAATTCACTTACCTGCAACATGCCGACTGTATGAATCTGGGCCATTTATATAGTTCGATAATTTCCCCGTTGAAGCCTCCATATTTTTCTGTAACGACAAGAGCCGTTCGCTTGCCACGTTTCATTACTGAGGGTCATAGGTAAAGTGATCCCCAATATTGCTATGAATCAATAGATAAGTCATCAAAGTGCACATAAACCCAAAAAGTACACCTCCAATATTGGCATGGCTAGGATATGTCTCAGGGTCTCAAGGATTGGACACTGCACCATCGACAAAAATGATAACCCCATTTTTTTCATAGAACATCGTTAAAACTGCTTAATTATTGGTTTCAACATGTTTCAACCCCATAAATTCTTGGGGCCTTGATCCGTTTTTTTCCACATACCCTCTGGTAAACATACAAAAAACTATGGACAATCACCATTTTTTATGGGAAAATCCATTATTTCTATGGCCATTTTCAATAGCTATGTTAAATTACCAGAGGGTAAAACATCAAACCCTCCATGACTCAACCATCCCCCGTGACCGGTCGGACCTGCCAGGACGTCATAGGTCCAATCGCCACCGGGGACCTTAGCCATAGCATGGTGATGTTTGATACTTATGATAGAAATACCAGAGGGTCTAAAGATAACTATAGCTATAGTTACTATAGTTTATGGGAGATATACAGTAGCTATAGTAAGTAATATAGACTTTATGGGAGATATTATCGCTATAGTTTATATCGTTTGGCAACTTGCAACTGGCTGGCCTCACCGCAAGATCCAATCTGGCCAGAATCTGATTTACCCGGAAGATTGGCCCAAAGAAATGAATCATCCACGTTCATCCACCACAATCCATCCTAGAAATTTGGTTGAATACATAGATTACATAATTCATCAAGCTGACATAGGCTCATTGTTGGATGACTCCCTAAATTTTCATACTTCCGACAAACAAAAAATGCTTTCTTCGGCTTTGTTCCTTGGATCTTTGGGTCATGAAAATTCCCATCCCTACTGTAAGACTGGTTCATAGGTATCACAATAAGTACAGTGATGGGAATTTTCATGGCTATCATAGTTTGGGTAATGAACCAGTATTACAGAGGGATGGGAATTTTCAGTTATGACTGTAAGATAAGCATTATCAGTATTATTATTATTATATAAGCATATGATATGTTCAGTAATACTATTTTGGAATTTTCAGTTTGGATGGTTCTTATGGCTTATCATAGTCCCAAATAGTTTGGGTAATGACCAAAAAAACTCCTATACTAATCCCTCTTATTGGATTCTATTATATAAACTGAGGATTACCAATTTTTACCAGGTGCTATTTTTCTATATTGTATATATACTAATCCGATAAACCAGGCAGTACCCTCTGGTAAACTAACGTAACTATGGAAAATCACCATCTTTAATGGGTAAATCACCATTTTCAATAGCTATGTTACTATATGTTTAGTTTACCAGGCAGTACCAGGCAGTGGATTCTCCTCGTCTGAGTGAAGCGACGGAGCGCAGGTGCCAACCAGCGAAGCGAACTGCTCAGGGTTCTTCACGGTGGCCGAGAAATAGGTGTGGACCGTTTTCCCTGCGCCTCAGCGGCTTCAGCGGCTTGGGATGGTTTCAAGGTGGCAAAATCTATCTGCTTCGCAACTGATGTGAAATCACGGTTATAGTCCATTTATCTATCTATCTCTCTAATCTAATCTAATCTATCTAATCTATCTGTCCATCCATCTGATCTTATCTACTCTCATCTACTCATATCTAAGCGTATCCAATCGAATCTACACCTGTGGATCAACATTGAATGAACTGGAAGATTCTCCATATTCACTGTTGGGATGATCAGCATGTGCTATGGTCATAGAAATACTGGATGTACCCAGCTATAACATGGTGGATTTTTCCACTTCGCAAACTGTAAACGTAAAAACCAGGCCGGGTAATAAAACAACCATTGGTACATGGTTATCATGGTTTCTGGTCATCCCATCATAGCTTTTTTTCGATTCAGCAACTGCTTTCGAAGATTCGCCCGGAAATGGATGACCGGGGCCCCCTTTCTCGGATCCCCAGTCGGTTCACTCAGATCTGTCTGACAGGTGAAAACATCACCTGCGATGTTTTTCAAAATGTCTCAAATTACTTTACGAAGAGCTAGCCGAGGAGGAGAAGAACAACTCTGATAAAATCTAACAACCCTCACCTGGCAGGTGGGGAAATATATAATGGAACAGCATACCGTATCAAAATATACAATTTGTATCTCACGGTCAAACCGGTCACACATCGTCCCTGGTCCACCTGCTGTCATGGGGGCGCTCCCTGCATTGGGTGCTGCGTGAATGTAGGCTTTCCTGCACCATGACCATCCACTGGAAAACATCGAAACACCATCATGGAAACAAAAAAAACCATCAGAAAAAACATGAAAAAAAATGTTCGGAACAGCATCCAGAAAAAAAGAGATACCAGCCGGTTTCAAACATACCTGGGCATCCTGAAACTCTTTAGCTTCTCGTTTCGTACTTGGCTGTGGAGGTCCATCTGTTATTATTGGACATAACATATTTATATGGAGGTTTCCTGAAATGGGGGTACCCCCAAATCATCAATTGTTGTGGGATTTTCCATTGTAAACCATCCAGCTATTGGGGTACCCTAACACCATATTTAGAAATAAGGCACCATATCCCCACGAACCTTAGGTGGTTTCATCCTCCTTTACGGTGAAGCCACTGCCATTCTGTCCCCATGATCTTTCGAATCATCATGTTATTTATACAAAGCCCAAGGTTTTTTCGTGAGAAAAAATCCATAAAAATCCCCAACTTTGCAGAAGTGGAAGTGCAGTTCACATCATTTCACGATAGATTTAGGATGGTTTAGGGGGCCACAGATCCCAACAAACACTGGTTGGTGGTTGACCTACACCTCCGAAAAATATGACGAATCGTCAGTTGGGATGATGGCATTCCCAATATGATGGGAAAGTCATAAATTTATACAAATTTCATGTTCCAAACCACCAACCAGAACATGAATTACCATCTTTGAGTTGTGTAAATCATCATGTTTCTCATCTATAAATGGATCATGTTCATCCATTTTCTATAGCTAATGGATTGATCATCATAAACCATCCCAAGTCATCACCATTTTTATGGCTGGGAAGGCTTAAAATCTTCACGGTTCCCATTTCTATCACCGTGCACTGCACAGTCGAATGGGTCCCGTCTCCGCAGGGAGCATCTGGATCCCAGACCACTGTCTCAGGACCGGCATCACCTCCATTTCATGGGGGGAGAAATCGCTGTGGATCCATGGAAAAAATATGAAAAAATGGGGGAAAAGCGAAGGAACATTCATCAATAAATGGGAAAACTATATGGAAAAATGGAGTATCTCTAGGCACAGCTGACATCATAAACATTCATAAACCAATGGGAAAATGATTTGGGAAGATATGGGAACAGTGATCGGGAAGGGTTTTCAAACCCAGCTACGAAGCTCATCTAATCTAATCATCGACAGTTGGTTGAATTGAACCTTTCGAAAGTTGATTTATCGTCGAAAAATTGCCGTTCTTTTGTCCCAAACTTCGATGTTTGCTGGTTGGTGGGGGCTACCTACTCCTCTGAAAAATCATGGAGTGAGTTCGTCAGTTGGGATGATGACAGACATTCCCAATATGATGGGAAAGTCATCTTGGAATTCCATGGTTCCAGTCACCACCAACCAGATGATGTATTCCCAATCAACAAGTCTGTCCATTCCAAAACATAGGGATATGGGATCTCGGAGGGTCCCAAATTTGACCCACCTGATGGAGACGGCGGCATCCGATTGATATCTCAGAATGATATCTGGGAGTCACAACAAAAGGGTTTGTAACAATTGTAGCTAGAGATGCTAGAGATGCTAGAGATGTTCATCGCAACCATTGTATGTTATTATATATGATATATGTAACCGGTGTTGTGAAACTGAAACTCCGATGTTTGCCTTGAATCATTTCCCACGTTGTTCTTCTCAAATCACCAAATTGTGGCACCTAAAAAACGACTAGAATCGTTGATTAAGTTAGTTTATATCACACCTTCCCAAAAAGATACTCACTCAACAAGTCTTTCTTACCTTTCGAGTTTCAGAATTGGTCATAGGATCATATAGTATAGTATCTATGTTCGACTTTCATTGTTTTTGAAGATTGACAAAAATCTGGACTGTTTCCATGATCTTCCCATGTTTTTCCTATATTTTCCTATATTTTCCTATGATTTTCCTATGATTTTCCTATATCTTCCATGGATTTTCCGATCTTTTCCTTCAAAAAAACCTGGCCCAAACTTCCCCAGCACGCCCTGCGGCACAGGTGAAGCCACTCCCGTCGGATTCAAAGCACTTGCCGCTGAGGCTGTTCACCTCGGGTCGTGGTGACGCTTGCGAAATCCGATGGTCCGATGGTTGAAACCTGAAATGAATACTGTAATGGATTTTAATGGGATTTTAATGGGATTTTAATGGGAATTCATGGGATTTTATGGTGACTTAATGGGAATTTAATGGGATTTACCCTCTGATATATCACCTATAAACCCATTAACTAGTTCGATATATCACCTATAAACCATATAGTTATTGGACTTATACCCTCTGGTAAACGTTTACATAGCTGCGGAAAGATCCACCCATCTTGAAGTTCGGTAAATCAACGAACTAAATAGGCAATTTTCTATAGCTATAGTTAAATTACAAGAGGGTAATGGATAGTAATTGGATATAATTTAATGGGATGAAATTCCGCCTATCAACTGCAAATAATCAATGGGAATAAAAAAGATCCTAAAATGGCGGTACGTTAGTACCATATTTTGGACCGTATTTTGTCGGAATATTCCTTTACATAATTTACATAGGCCTTATATATGGCAGGTACTTCTATTTAGGTTCCTGAAATGGTCATTGAAATAATGGGAATGTTTACCACCTATCAACTGCTGCAGGATTTCGCAACCATCCACAGTCTGAATTTACCATACTGGGGGAATCAACGAAGGAATCAACCTCCAAAAACCGTACAATAGCTGGGGAATCAACCTCTATAAACCATGAACCAGCTACGAAACTAGGTACCTTCCGGGGAGATTTTACCGAAAAATAGCCATCATAAACCACCAACAGACATGGACTGTTCATATTTCAAAGCACCAGGCTACCCTCTGGTAATCTCATAGTTTGCAATGAAAACCATGACCCATTCGATGGGTTACCTACTGAAATTGGTGATTCTTCCAGTTCACAAACTGTTGTATTACCAGAGGGTAAATCAGGCATGTTCATAGCTATATTATATATAACTATCCTATAATTTCTCATAGAAAGTCTAAAATTATCCCCATTCAGGACCAGAGCTGGATAAAAATCTTCACAGCTAAGCTAGATGCAAACATGTTATGTTTGTTCCCGTAGCAATCTTAGTTTATAGTCATCCAAAAAAAAATAAACAATCAATCCCATTAAACTAGTGATGAAGTACTTTTCCATCTTCTTGGGGTTTACTATTCGGCCCCCAGTCACGGTTGATACAGTGGGATGGTTGACCATTGAGTTTACCAAATTACATCCCACCAAAATGCTCAAACATTATATATTACATATAAATATGGTACTATATATATTCTGTATACGTATATTATATATATATATGTATGGTTCTATCTTTTTGTGGATGACTATATGACTATACCTATTGAGTTTACAACATAAAGAAAAGGAGTCTGTCTGGAGGTATGCTCCCAAGTTATGGCCATCGAATCAGAGTGCTGATTTTCTTCAGAAGAAATGAACAGAAATGATATGATTCATTGGGATTACTCTATCCGTATTAAAAAGTAATGATAATCCATGATAATCCATATGATAATCCATGATAATCCATGATAATCCATTGGGACATTGGGACTACTCTACACTTATAATATTATTAAAGAAATATTTAAAAATGGTGAATTCCCAAGAGCTCATGGCAGCGCCAAGCAGCATGCCCCACAGATTTCGGTCCTGCCAGCGCCACGCCCACAACGCTGACCTTTCCATTGGCGAAAAAACCATGGGGTCATGGCGTGCAACATATGGCATTTCAGGTGATTTCAGTAGCCCAAAGTTGGGACTTCACCCGCAAACATGCGGATTTCAACCACATGTTTGATGTTTTAATCAGCAAAATCGGATGCCAAAAGATAGCCAAAAGATGGCCTGTATTCAGCCAACATCTTGGGGATTTCAAACCTGTGATTTTTCAGCAAACAAGATATACCCACTGGTTATTTAACATAGCTATGGAAAATGGCCCATAGAAATAGATGATAGACATGATCATTTACCGAACTTGGAAATGATGATTTTCCATGGTTACGTTAAATAACCAGAGGGTATATGATATGTTGATTTCACCAACCATGGGAATCGAAACTAAAAAACAAGAACCTCGGTTAAAGAAACACAAGATGATGTCATGTTGGAAAAACTATAGCTTTCAGCTCAACAAAGGTATCATACCAGATATTTTTTTGCGGTACATGGAGGTACAAATCATATCCTCATCACCATTCCAAAGAATCCAACCATCACCCACAGGATCCATGTATGCTATATATGGTAACATTTACATACATATATACCCCCTTTATGTTAGCATATATACCAGCACCATGGATCCTATGGGTCACTCGACGATGCAGATCTCCTGGGTCTCTTGGTTTTTTCAAGAACCGTTTTCATCGGGGTCATAGAGTTGGACAAATGCCATATTTGTCTCCAGAAATCGTGGCGCTTAACTTCTTACTGAATTTGCTCCAGAGGAAAAAAAACCTGAATCCGTTCTGCCGATAATCTGGTCTCAAATTGTGAAAACATGAACAATGGATTGGGAAAAACCAGGGAAAATCTTAACAGGAAACCATGGATGTTCCCATAAAATATGGGAGCTTGCTGTAGTTGTTGTTTTCCTTAAACCAATCCATCGAAACGTTGAAAAAAACCATGGTTCTTTTGAAGATTTTCAAGGATTCAATGGCTACCAACTTTCCAGCCAATCAAGATAGCTATGTGATCACTGTTGCTGAGCAGTTCAAAGACCAAGACGAAAGGAAACATCAAGTTGGTTGCTCATGTTTAATCAGGGTGGCCCCAAAATCTTCAAGCATCTTCAAGCTAACTTGGGTTGTTTTATATCATCTTATGTCATTTTGAACAGGAACACTAATAAAAATGCTAGTTGGGGGGACCTCCTTTCAGAAACACCGAGCCATCCTTACGCCATCCAAATTTTACTTCCATCCCATTTAAAGTTTGTGCCGAGGGACGAGAAGCAACGAGACCAAGTTCCACATCTTTTTGGCCCGGAATTTGAAGATGAAATAGCTGCAGGAAGCATGAAATTTGTGGATTTGCCTAAGTCCCTATTCAAAATATTCAAAATATTCACTATAGATTATAGATTCCCCAGTCATGGTGGATTGTCCATTGGGGAAATGTTTAAAAAAAACCACCGACGAAACAAAGCGATAAAATTTGGATTCCTCCAGCGAGTCCGGTACCATGAGGTCCTCTCCAACAGCGGAAGATGGCAGCATCCTACACCATCCCAAAAAACACAAAAAAAGTGAACCAGTTGGGGGTTCAACTGGAATCATCATCCCCACTTTGGGTGGGTCGAATCTATTGAATTATTGTATTGCTATCATGGGAACATTTATATAGATCTTTCGGCTTGCTGGACAATCCACGATTTATGGTTGATTTTCCCTCCTATGAACTTCCAGTTAGAGGACAAGTGCCATTATTGCCCTGACTGATTGCCAATTGGTTATAGTCATATCACACATATATATATATATCCAAACAAATATTCCCATATATGTCCTCATTCAATCCCCCCATTAAAAAAACACACACACACCATGTTTCATGGTTTCCCCATGGTTTTCCCAAAAAAAAACGACCATGTTTCATCATTGTATCCACCCATCCCACATCCATCCACATCCCATATCGTCCAAGGTTCACCCGCGCGCTTCCCTTTCAGTGCCCATACCTTTGATACGTTTTTTTTGGAATCATTTGGGCCTTTCTTTCAGATGAATCTATAAATCTGGGTTGAAAAAAAATAGAACCACATTAGAACCACCAAACATCAAAGCTGAATCTGGTAAAATCAGTTTACCTTGAGTTAAATAATCAGATTGATGGTGGTTTCTAGGATTTATTTTACGTTGAGACTGTCAAAAAAAACACCAGGAAGTTGCGGCTGAACAAGGTCGAGTCCAGATCTGCATCGAAGTACCATTTAAGGATGCCACAAACAAACATCTATAGGACATATCCCATATATTATCACAATTGTCATAATTTAAATTATACATGATACTTGGATATAGACAGTACGTAGTAATGCATATGCATATCGTACAAGAACGTTGGCTGATTTTGGGGGTACTTCTGTTCGGGACATACGGATGAGTATTGTCAACGAACCCTTGGGTCAACATCATTATATATTATAGTATCTTAAACAATACACCTGATCTATTAGATCAATTTAGATCATGAATGGTTAATGGTTATGAATTTATGGCTCCAAAGCCTGGTACCTTGGGTATCCTTGGGTCCCCCACAACAAAAACCCGTTGCTTTTTGGATATTGATTCCCCATCCATCAACTTCTGGGAGGTTGTCATGACAGGTCAACCTGGTCAACCAGGTCAACCAGGTCAAGGGGTTTGAAGCATCAAAAGTGGGTCGTGTGGCTTGGACATTGCCTCCACAAAAACCAACAAAAATCACCAACCAAAAAAAAGCATGAACATTGGTTTAACTTGCCAAATGCTGTTACTTCTTATCCGATAAGACTACTGTCTTCGGCATGGTTCAAGTCACGAGCTGCCCAACAAGTAATCAATCGAATTTGAATTATCCTAATTCTCGCAAAAAATCAGCAGCTTCACCTTTTGCTTCTTCTACTACAATTGTCCCTAAAAACATAGCAGAGGTAGATCCCTGCGTGCTAATTTGATGATCAATGATGTTTTCGATAATTTTTAAAACTTCCTCAAAAAAATCGACCCATTCTTCACCCAGGGCACGTGGACATTCTCCGGATACTGCGGGTCCCACTTCCTCGGTAGGAAACTCATACGCGCAGACCCCGTGGTTTGCCCGGACTGCAACATTGAGGATACCCTGGTGTCGAACATGATAAGAAAGATGGGAGAAAGTACTGCGTATATGCAGTGTTTTCTGGTTTAGGACTCAGAGTTTTCAGGTTTTAGGGTTTTAGGGTTTGGGGGTCCAGCAACACAGGTTGTCGCCATAGCCAAAACCTTGGATTAACAGTACTTCTTAAACAGATATGTTTTTCTCTGTCGGCCGCGCCCTAAGCCTTAACTCCACTGGGATAAGAGCCTTTTGGCCCCAAAGGTGCACTGGGAGACCGTTTCTATGCGTTTGACGTTTTTTCCGCTCCAAGCATTATTAGGATGTTTTTCTTCTTCGCGTGATTCTATTCCTAGATTAGAAAGACCGGTCTTTTGATCTAGCTTTTCCCGCCCTTCTTACATGCTGTCCTGCTGAAAACAAACCTTTGGTTCAATCGAAAAAACAACCTGTGTTGGCGCAAACTTGGCGCAAGCCACCTAAATTTAGGGTTTTAATTTGGAAGTTAGGGAGTAGGGTTCGTTGTCTGTCTAGGAAAAACTTGTGCAGGTATTTGAGCATGTTGAAAATAATGTTTGAACACAGTTCTAACTTTCCAGGCAAACCATAGGGTCTTGCCATACTAATAGATAATAATAGGGGGTGTATTCCAACTTGATAGCAATATTGTCCTGAGAAAATAGAGGGGGAGGCTTTGTATCTTACATATTACTACATATTACTACTGTTGTATCATTTACCTGTTGGTAAATGGAAGCCACTACTCATCAACCAACCGGAGAAGGACACTGGTAACCCCTTCGGCCATGTGAGTCAAGTCACGTCAATTGTCTTCAAGAAAGCTAAAGAAAGGGATCATCATACCCTCTGGTAAACAGCCACATAACTATGGAAAATCACCATTTTTAATGGGAAAACTCACTATAAATGGCCATTTTCAATAGCTATATTAAATTACCAGAGGGTAGATCATCAATAGCCAACTGTAATCTAAGGATGGCCCAAGCGAAATTCCCAAGGGGAAGTTCTTACGCTTGATATCTTGATCATCAGCTTGCCCTAAACCCAAATCCTTGTTCCACTGATGCCATAGAACCCTCATCAGCACAGCTTCCAAAAAATGGATAAACATGGATAAACATGTGGCCCAAATCGTCGAATAAAGACCCAATGGCCCAATGTTCATGCCTCCATGTTGCAAGTTGCAAGGCAGATTGACTCAGATTGACCAACCTGTGTTGGATATATCATGATATATCTTCAATTCCCCTACCCAGCCATCAGAAAAAATCTTCCCCAGCAAAAAGAAGCTCCCAATGAACCAAATTGATCACGCAGATTGAGTTCGTCTGAAAATAGGGTATACCGCATACCCCCCCAAAAAAAATGATGATTCATATTGAATATATCATAAATCCCACAAAAAAAAATGCGATGAAACTGGAGCTTCATCCCAAGTTATCGGACCCCAAAAAACATCCCCGTCCCCTTTTTGTGTCCATCTTTCCCAAGCGACTCATAGGTCACCAGATATGTCTTCCTTAGCTCCGGGTCAACATCCTGATGGCTGTGATTAGCCATCGGCTAATGGTTATTACATAATCTTACTGGGTCTTGTAATTCATGATTAGACATATATATCTGGGTAAATTATAATAATTCACTAACCTGAATTGTTGGGCCATTTGGGGATGATTTCCCTTATTAACTATGATTCCAGTGAGGTCGCAGTGAGGTCGTTATAATTTACCCAGATATATATATATATATATATATATATGTGTGGGTTTCCTGAAATGGGGGGTACCTATTCATGGATGGTTTTATGATGGAAAATCCGTCTATAAATGGATGATTTAGGGGTACCCCTATTTCAGGAAACCTCCATATATGTGTGGTATAATTGTTCAACGATCAGCTACCAAAGGCCCCCAACGTCTACGCCGTCATGCATGTTCCCATCGATGGTCCTGAAGGTGATAATCTAAATGAAAGCCCGGCAAAACCCTATGTTTCTCAGCCACGCCTGAAAACGAGCATGGAACAATCCCCCAAGAGCCTGACTTTTAATAAATCAACTTTACTCAAGATGGGCCAGAGTTTGAAACGCAAAATTCACCCATTTGTAGCATCAACGTCCAACGTCCCCAGGAGTTTCCGGGACGGGCTCCAACTCCTACCTTCCTGTCTTTGGAGCATAGCTTCAGGGATCAGAAAGAGTTGTTCTGGTGCGTTCAACCCCCTAGATATCAGCTGTGCAACGTTATTCCAGCGAGGGTTTCCTACATTTTCGCTGCAACCTAAATGGTTGCCCAGACATGCTTGCAGAATTAGGGTAGAAAATGATGATCTTACCCATTGTTGTCTCTTACAAATCCACTTGTCGCAAAATCTAGACCTTCAAAAACTTGTCGAAAATCAAAACGAACTCAACCCCCACCCTAGATTGAAAAAAACACGAAAAAGAATCCCAAAGATACCACGAAAGCCTTGGTGTTTTTCCCAGAAGATCGAACTGAGGGGGTTCTGCACATCGCAAGGCTTGGAGTCAAAAGCCTAAGAACAGATCACGTGCCAGGCAATCTTCCTCAAAAATGGGGTTGTTCCATGTTGTCTCAAAATGTCCCCAGATAAACCATGATGAACATCATCATCAGTGGTTTATCACCGTTTTTCCCCATCAACATGAGCCAATTTTCATCACTCCTATCCCAGCTCATCAAAATTTGGTTGGTTGAAAACGCTTTCCCTATGGATATCCTCCCCAGTATCATTAGCTACAGTCCCTACCCTCCGGTAAACGTTTACATAACTATGGAAAATCACCATGCTATTAATGGGAAAATCCACTATTTCTATGGCCATTTTCAATAGCAAACTGTTAAATTACCAGAGGGTACAGTCCCTAGTTCGTAACCAATCAACCAGGCTATTTTGTTCATGGCTGCCCTCTGGTAATTTAACATAACTATGGAAAATCACCATAGAAATAGTGAACTTTCCCATGAATAGCATGGTGGATCTTTCCATAGTTATGTAACAAATTACCAGAGGCTATATCCCATTGTCATCCCATTATTCACCATTGTTAACCATTAAATCACCATTTTCCTATGATAAACCAGAGGCTATGTAACAAATTACCAGAGGGTAAATCTCCATTTTCCTATGGTTTTCCTATGGTTTTCCTATGGTTTTCCCATTGTCTTCGATGGCCATCAGGAGATCAATCCTCCAAGCAGCAGTGGAGAGAAGTACAAACTGCGCACACCACCGGCTCTGCCCTGCACATCCGGCGCCACCTACCGCGACCGTCGTTGAACGCGACGCGACGTTTACTGAGTTGGTGAATATAACTCCAAGAACTGTTGGGATTATGGTAGATAATATATATATTGTAGCTATTATATATACATACATATATATATATATTATTTAGTAGTGTCTATAGTTACTCTGGTTGATAAACCAACTGGGGGGGGGACACCACCTCATAAATACACCCTGCTTATTCATGGCTTAGCAAAATGAAACGAGAGCCAATACCAAACCAAGTTTCATATGGGGGATTATAGGGAATTGAATATTTCAGGGTGAGCCTCTGGTAAATTCATCTAGCTATGGAATTCACCATTCTTAGAAGGTAAATCATCGAACTGTTGATCCAAGAACTTGGGCCAGCGAAACGCTGGCTGAATCCCAAACTTTAACGCTTACATTGATATTGAGTGTCACCCAATGCCTGTAACAGTCAGTCAGTGGTTTTCATGTATAATATACATATGATGTTTCATGTATACGTTCACATTTAGATATACATTCACATTTACCTCTACATCTCACTCACGTCAAATGTTGCATTGCACGGTATATTCATTGCATAGCAAAACAATATACATTACGTTGCATCACATTACACGACATCACTACATGGAAACCTTGCGTTGCCTCTCATTACATTGCATTACATCACACTAAATCACACTACATTGCATCACGTCACAACACGTCCATTACAGTACATGTGACATTACAAACTGTATATCATATATACACACTACATGTTACACTGCATAGTTATTGCCTTTTACATTACACTAATACACTGCACTGCATTTTACAATGCCAATGTCGTTGTCATGTTCCGCTGGTTGGAGAGACCAGGATCAAAGATAAAATCTCGCGCCGTTGCTGGTCGCTTGGAACAAGCGACCTTGGGACTCAACTCTTTTTTTTGGCAGAATAAACATCCGAAACATGAATAGACCCCATCTATGTGGTTTATATCTATTGAATCTATTGTGAATTATATATCACCAATTACAGTGATTTCCAAATCAGGGATAAACCTATTTTGGGATGATTTCCCTCACTGACCATCATTAGTCATGTCGGTCAGCAAATTCGCTTGAATGTGCCCAAACTTCTCATGAGTTATACTCAGTGATATTACCACAAGTACTTCTTGTGGATGCATCCTAACAACTCGTGCGACCTGGGTGAATCAACTTAATCATGATATATTTATTTCACTCACCTGAAATGTTGTGATGGTGTTCGTTTAATGGTGATGTCAAGAAATAAAACACATGATTACTGTACGCTCATCGTGAATTTTCATCACCTTCCACCGGAGGGGTCCAACAAATCCCCATCATTCCCCATCCAAAAAAGACAGACTCGAATTTAAGAGTTTTAACATTAAAGTGAAATCATCTAGAAAATCCCATGTGTTCATGATTAAATCATTAATATATATATATATTAATATAACCCATATATAAAATCCCGAATTTGGACGGAAAAATAGTGAACTCATGTGAAATCCCCAATGTTTCATGGTTGTATCATCTGGAAATCCCTTTTTTTATGTGAATTCCACATCTTTCTGAAAAAAAAATGCTGAAAAATCCTCCCAAATCTCCAAATCCCCCTCAAATCCACCGGAAAAAACCCACCGAAACTGGCCATTCAATCCCAATAAATCACCAGTAAATCCCATTGAATCACCATTAAATCCCATTGAATCACCATTAAATCCCATTGAATCACCATGAAATCCCAGTAAATCACCACTCAATCACCATTAAACCCTATGAAATCAATTTAAATCCCATGAAAACAGCTAAAAAATCCCATCAAAAATCCCATCAAAAACTCACCAAATCCCATCCAAACTCCCAGAGAAACCCCCGAAACTGGCCGAAACTGGCCGAAGTCGAGGCCTTCTCCAACTCGTTCACCACCTTGTAGCGCTTCTCCGCATCGTAGACCCGGACGCCCTCGTCGCAGACAGAGGCTAACAGGGCGCCGTCGTCACCTCATGGAATGGGGACAGCCTTATGACTGGGAAAAATGGGTGGAAAAATGGTGGAAACATATGGAAAAATGAGTGGAAAGCATAGTATGCTAGGAAGTTGATGGGAAATCACTGGGAAGTTGATGGGAAATGTCACGTCTTCAAATCTTTTCCGGCCAATGTTGAATATATATATATATAACACCATGTGATAAATGAATGATAACAGAAGTGAGGGAGTTCAGCAGAAACAGCAAAAAGTGAATTGATGAAGTCAAGGGGCTGGCGAGACACAACAAACACAAGGATTGAACCGGCATCTGTTTGCGGATCAAAAAAGAATGTGTTCGATACAAACGAACATGATGATATATGATGATTCAACCAGCAAAAGTGGACTGAAAGAATTTGATTGAATCGACACATCATGACAAACCTATGACCTTCTCCAAAGAGATCCACTGGAAATTCGTGGATTCTATGGTTTTTTACATTTTTTACCAATTCTTACCATCTAAAAAACTGACATCCCAAGTGATGGAGGGTTGCCCAAAACCACTTCACAGCTGTTTCAAGCGATGTTTAACCCGCAAGACTGGAATATCTGGATCAAATATGCCCTCCTTCAAACTAAGGCAGATGTGGAGAACCGGCTATTTGTAACTGTATATAATTAGTTCATTTTAAATATGTTAATTTGTTAGAGAAATCATTGATTTTCCACCTCTATGTAAACGTTTACCCAGTTTACCCCAGGGTAATCATTCACTAGCCTGAACAGTTCGGTTCCGATCATTTAAGTCGAATTCCGTCACGACGCGAGGTTGTTGCGATTCATTCATCCAATGGATGATAGATATTGTCGCATTAATTTCCATTTTATGTCCCCATATATCCCCATAATATCCCCATAATACATATATATATATATCCCATTATATCCCCATATATTCTGTAATTGCCCAGTGTGATCTTTAGCATCCGTTCACCAAATATATGCCCCGTGTTTCATGTGGCAAAAGTGGCTGGTGAACTCCGGTGGAATCTGGTGAAGCTCCATTTTTGTCTCATCAAACAGTGTTTGACCTTCTGTGAAGTTCCACT